AAAAAAACTAAGATCATGGCCACTGGCCCCATCACCTCCTGGGAAATAGAAAGGGAAGATATGGAGGCAGTGACAGATTTTACTTTCTTGGGCTCTATGATCACTGCAGGTGGAGACAGCAGCCCCAAAATTTAAAGACATCTGCTCCTTGGGAGGAAAGCGATGACAAACCTTGACAGCATCTTAAAAAGCAGAGACATCACCTTGCCAACAAAAGTTCGAATAGTCAAAGCTATGGTTTTTCCTGTCGTGATGTATGGAAGTGAGAGCTGGACCATAAAGAAAGCCGACTGCCGAAGAATTGATGCCTTTGAATTGTGGTGCTGGAGGAGGCTCTTGAGAGTCCCCTGGATTGCAAGGAGAACAAACCTATCAATTCTAAAGGAAATCAACCCTGAGTGCTCACTGGAAGGACAGATCCTGAAGCTGAGGCTCCAGTATTTTGGCCATCTCATGAGAAGAGATGACTCCTTGGAAAAGACCTTGATGTTGGGAAAGTGCGACAGCAAGAGGAGAAGGGGACAACCGAGGATGAGATGGCTGGAAAAACTCATCGAAGCAACCAATATGAATTTGACACAACTCCAGGAGGCAGTGGAAGACAGGAGGGCCTGGCGTGCTCTGGTCCATGGGGTCACGAAGAGTCGGACACGACTAAATGACGACGATTTTTCAGATGCTCGTGAATCTATTGCTTTTACATCAGTACAGTATGGCTGGCTATTCCCAAGGAAGTGCTGACCTCCAAGTAATACAGAGTTATTTTATGCATTATGTCCTCATAAACAGTCCATATGGGCTCAAGCACTGCCCCAAATGAAAAGATTCTTCCCCAAGAGGATCTGGGCTAAATTGATTTTAACGCCTACACTGAGAAGGCCTGCACACTAAGGAAAGAAATTCTTATCAACTCCTTGCACTTTTGCTTCTGAAGAAACCCTTCCCATTTTAAAAGCCAATTAAAGGGCTAACAAAAACCTTATGAACTGGGAGTCCTGAAGAGGAAGTAAAATCTATATACAGTAGAAAGCAGTGTAATGCTAAGCTCTGCAACCAGGACAAAGCCCAGCCCTAAATAATGGAAGCCTGCCCTGAAGAGTTAAAAAAAAAGTAAAGAAGAAAAAAGGCAAGGATCGACAAAAAACGTTGTAGTGCCTTTAAGACTGTTCTGTTTTAGTATGAGTTTTATTTTTATCTGCATATACAGTACTTGCCAGATCTTTGTGATCGACAAGAGGAAAAACAGCCAAAAGACACAGCGCTAAACCAGGTAGTTTTGCCTCGATGGGAAGGCCACCCAAAGACGAGCTAGTAAGATCCCCATTTTAAAAATGACTCCCAAAGCGTTGAAACGATGCTGCAATTTTCATGGCTTACTCCTTGCGGTGAGAAAGTCTACTATTTTTATTGTAATTGACTCCCACAGCTGCTCTTTGGCAGTTTGGCTCCCCCTGAAAATTAGAACAGCCCCTCCTTCCTTCTCGAAATATACGGCTACCATTCGAACTCCGTTCTGCCTATTCCATTCCCACCCACTGCAACCCAGAGGTCTTGCTAACTTTTAAAGGAGGCCATGGGTCTGTAACTGTGCCATAGATATAGGACGTGCGGCATGGAAAGGGTTAGTTTGAGTACTACGATGGACCCGGATACTATTACCATGGTTACGACTCGCCGTGACAGTCACAGTGTGCCACGCGTAATCTGCCGCCTAGAGCGGCCCCACCTTTTTTCTTTTGGAAGGAGCAAGAGACAATAGAGTAGCGAGAGGACTTTCTACTTCCGGCCAGGCAGTTCCGGTTGGTGGTGGAGTTGCTGGAGGGAAAGTGAGGGGAAGTATCTAGGCGGAGGCCGGTCCGCCGCGTGCAGGTTTTGAAAGGGCCTCTCCTTCGCCGTCGTTTATTTTCGTGGGTTGTGGTGAAACCGCAGTAGGAAATAGTCGAGCTGAAGGTAATTGAGGGAAGAGATGCGTAAAGGGGGGGGGGGCGGCCGCCGCTACTGATGCTTCCAGCTCAGGGTATGCGGAGAAATAACGGGGGTCAGCGGCAGCGAGCGGTACGGCTCTGAGGCCTTGTCCCTTGTCCTCCGCAACCGCTTTCTTTGGTCCACGGTGACGCCTGCTTGCCTGCCTTGCCAGTTACCGTGCCAGCCCTTGTTATCTATAGAGGCAGGTGCGGGGGTGGGTGCCTTGGCCTGTTTTCTGACGTAACCCCAAAGTGGGGGTCTGGGCGCAGGCCACGTATGCGGGAAGGGAGGCGCGTTTCTGTCTCTCTTCTTCCCCTCTTCCGCCGCCTCCCTCCCCCTTTTCTTTACTGCAGTCTGCCGAACAGGTTGGCATTCAACAGGTAGTGCTTTCCCCAGCACGCAGGCGCGGTGAAAGAAAGAGGCTTGCCCCGCCTCGTTAAGGGCTTGACTGCCGGGCAGCTTTTGAAAACGGGAGGAAGCTTGTAAAGGGGGGGGGGGGAAGACACAATCCTCATACACACCCGGTGTTTATTCTTTTATGAGGTCGATGGAGCAAGGTTAGATGTGCAGTTTATAGGGAGAAGGAGGAAGTTCTAGCGTTCACAGCAAAGGATTATAAATTTGCTTATTTAAATTGCCTTTCCTTGTTTTCTGCTCATTTTTTTTGTTTCATTTAGGGTTTTTTGTTGCTCTTGTTCTATTGGTGTTCAGAATGCTTAAAGCTGATGAATTTTGGTGTTTCCTGGTTATTACCTGTGGGCTATAAACAAATGTTAAAATTTATCTTATCATTTTTATTTTCTAGGAAGCCAGGTTTTGTTGTTGTTAAGAGAAATATTTTTCCCTCTTTCCTGCTTTCCAGGTTCTGTGATGTCTCCCCAATATTTCTGTGGGCTATAAACAAATGTTAAAATTTATCTTATCATTTTTATTTTCTAGGAAGCCAGGTTTTGTTGTTGTTGATTATAGCTATATGAGACTTGTTTAGCATTATCTAGAAGATTGAATAACACTGTTTATCCGAGAAGGAAAATTATTGATGAGTATTGCTTGACATTGCTAGAACAATAAAGCCTCTCTTTACTCAGTGCATGAACGTGAAAACCAGGCTTAACTGTTATGTGCTGGTCATGTATGTATTTTTGCCCTGAGAGTCAAGGATCCTGCATGTCATGGTTTCTGCAAGTGAGATGAAAAAAGGTGACTGTCATCTTGGTAAAGAATGTGCTTCAACTTCTTTTGAAACTTTTTAGATTACATTTTTTCCTACTAGTTTACACACCCAGTTTGGTGTGTATAGACATGTAAGTTTTTGCTGGCCTCATTAGTTTTCTGATTTCATACACTGTTAGAATGTTGAGGCTAGTACTTCTGTGAAGCTTAGAGTTAGTATTGCTACACACAGTTCTAAGGTGTTTGCCTCTGTCCACAGAGGTTTAGGATGTCATACGTGAGTGTCATCTGTTTATCCTACAACAGTCATGAAGATGTGTGGGAAAGAATTGTCAAATATCATTTAACAACTGACCCTTATAACTTGAACTGCCTTAGTTGCTGTCCAATAATTCTGTACATCCAGTACACTATACTGGATTACAAGTAAAAGTGTAAAATGTGCATTTATTTTGAGATCCACAATTTGATATCAGTTCCACTATTTCACACTAGTTTTGTGGCAGAGAAAGCATAGTCACATTACCAGAAGTGCTCAGTATTTCTGGTGTAAAACTTCCTGATGCTCAGCTAGTCCATTTGTTGTGTCAAATAATGTGTATACTGCTGTTCTTTAAAAGGCTTCAAATCCCCACTTTGCCTCTCAGGAGAGATCCCCTGGAGTGTGCTTGCGGTTGATGAAGTTATGTGCCTTGCCACCTATGCAGTCTTGGGCCATCTGCATGGTCCCAGGGAGCCACCAGAATGAAGAACTGGTAAACCACTTCTTGAGATCTACATATTTAATATCTAGAAAACCCTGAGAGGGTAGCATTACACCAGAATTGATTTGACATCATGCAGTTGTTAATTAGACATTGCCCAGAACCTTGCTGGCTACTTGGACCCAGTGTATGTGCTGTGATGTCAATTGTAGTAGGAAATTGCCCCTCTTTAACAAGTCATTCTTATGGCCCTTGTTGCACATCAGTCATGTGATTAGTGGATGATGAGGGAAACAAGTGGCAATACACTACCCTGTTTTCCCAAAAATAAGACCTAACCTGAAAATAAGCCCTAGTATGATTTTTCAGGATGCTTGTAACATAAGCCCTACCCCAAAAATAAACCCCAGTTAAGTGAAACTCCACCCTCCACCGTTGTGCAGCAACCAGAAGAAGATAACACGACTGTCTTTGAATAAATGTAGACTGTAGTACATTTTTAAAAATCCCCTGAAAATAAGCCCTATTGCATTTTGGGGCAGAAATTAATATAAGAGCCTGTCTTATTTTTAGGGAAACATGGTACTCAAAAATTAATATAATACCCTGCCTTATTTTCGGGGAAACACGGTAATATCGGAATGCCAAATAACTGAACCCCCTTGAGCCCTAATGGCCCTACTAACTTCCCTGTTAACTCCCTTCTGCAATGCACCTATGGTCACATCTGGTCCTCCATACCATCCTAGGTATGATCGCCGACAACACTATGCGTGTTCCAGGAAAGTGCCGTAGTATGATTTTTCAGGATGCTTGTAATATAAGTCCTACTTCAAAAATAAGCCCCAGTTAAGTGTAACCCTGCCCTCCACCATTCTGCAGCAACCAGAAGAAGACATGATTGTATTTGAATAAATGTAGATTGTTGTACATGAAGAAAATAAAACATCTCCTGAAAATAAGACCTAATGCATTTTGGAGCAAAAATTAATATAAGATCCTGTCTTATTTTTAGGGGAACATAGTACTGCAGTTTACACATTTGTACTTAAGATGGACTAACTAGGAAACAGAATAGTGGCTGGTGTTTTTAGGAGCTGTCCACCCCTGGGTTCAAACTGCATGCTTCACTTAAAACTTAGCTTAATAAATAGTTGCCCTTCATTGATGTGCTTGGTGTAGTGATAATGTGTTCAGATAAATGCTCTGATTATGATCATTGGATTATGTCCTAGCTTTTTCAGAGATATGGAATAGTTCATCAGTATTCAGTTTTTTATAGAAAAGGAGATGTAAGATTTGAGGTTTTTATCCAGAAAGAGAATAAGTGTGTTATATGAACTATGTCCTTTGGCTTTAGTTTGTATTTGGCTGAATCCCAAGTTCAGAAATGACTTTGCCTGATTTGTGCAGATGGGAGATGTCTGGGTTGAAACAAGTCTCCAAAATGCCAACTATATACAAAAACTGAATACTCCTGAAGATTTGTTAGAAGTTTTAACTTGAAGATGCGGAGAGTATGTCTTCAAAAGTGGGTGTATTTCTTTCCAAGCTCCCCATTTAAGGAGAGTACTGGTGACGAAGACGACAAGAAGCTGGAATTCCGCAACTGACAGTCTAATTTCTAATCCCAGTGAATGGTAGAATGCATAATGTGAAAAATGCACTGTTCTCTTTCCATCTAAACACTTCCTTTCCACAAAATCCATTGTACCTCTGCTCCTGAAATTTTACAGACTTTTAAACTAGGCATACATCTGTGCAGGTCATTATTTTCATAGAAGCTTTGGGATTAAGGACATCCCCTAAAATGTAAATGCTGTATTTATACAACACTATTCATTTGTCAGGCTTAATCCCTTGTGGGCTACTAGTGCAAATTTGATTCATTTCTACTGAGGAAAAGTGCTTAGTTTTCTCTCCCCAAGAAGCCTATTTACACTGAAGTTTATTCCTTGTTGGTAACATTGAGCACTAGCGCTTTGATAAGGAAAACAAATCAAGTTCATATGCAAACGTCTTAGTCAGCAACAATGGATAGTTTATTACCAAGAAGCAAGGACAATTTGTTGTTAAAACAAAATAGATTCTGAAGAGAAGCAGTGAGGATTTTGAAAAAACTCTCAAGGAAATGTCAAGCATAAGATATGGACTATATGAATCAAACACTTCTATGAAATGAATTTAGGACTTTGTATGAATGAGTGTCCAGGCTTCCCAGCAGGTGTTGATTTATTACTAAAATAATTGTATGTATTCTAAACGTGTGGAGCCTTGAGATAATCTTTTAGGCATCCTTGTGGCTGTATATGTTTTTGAATTAATGTGGTTTGGATTTCATTTAAGGTGGTTTGGATATCATACACATTTATCTTGCATAGATGACTTATATTTTATAATATGTATGTATAAAAGCATATAAGTATATTGTTAGTGGGCATTTGTGTTTTGTAAGAAAACATGGGTTTTGTTTATATTATAAGGAAAAATACTTGGAAGCTCCTTTAGAGAGAAAAAAAATCAAAATTTAAAGAGATGAAGCACATGGAACACAGAAATGCTTGCATATATTTATCTGATCTACCATATTTTTTCATGTATAAGACAATACTTTTGTCTAAAATCTTTAGACTAAAATTGAGGCTTGTCTTATACACAGAAGTAAGCTGAGTAGAGAACAAAAATAAGTGGCAGAGGGAAGGGATCAAAGCAATCTTGCTGTGCTTTGATCACTGCTTTCCCCATCTACTTGCTAAGTTCCATGCAGCTTAGCAAAAGGAGGGAGAAAGCAGCTGTCAAAGGGCTGCATGATCCCCTTGACTGCTGCTTTCCCCACCACATGCTAAGCCTCAAGGGGCTGAGCAAAAGGAGGAGGAAACCAGCAGTCAAAGGGCTGCACAATCTCTTTGACTGCTGTGTTCCCCCTCCTTTTGCTAAGCCCCATGTGACTGAAGGATGCCAGGACTGAGTTATTGATTGTGGACAAGAGCACGATAGGAAGGTTCAACAAGCTTGCATCAGCTGCAAAATCGTGAGTGAAGAGTCCGGCCCCATGGGGCTGGACCCTCATTATTTCCACCTATGTAGGGATATTCGTATTCATATACAAATACCCCCATCTCTAATCAGAACAGTGGTAAATTTTTGAGGATGTGCAGGGTGTGGATTTCTGGTCCTCATCCTGAAACTTCTCTCTATGTTATGGAGAAGAGTTCTTTAACTCAGAGCAAACATTTCCTTGACCTCAATCCTTCACATCAGTCCTAATTATAAGGATACCTTAAGCTGTTAGAGGCTTAGGTAGTTCAATTTCCCCTTAGCTCCCTTGTTCATATTCTACATTTGTTTGCTTGCATGATGAGCATAGTCCCTTAACGGATCTAGTTTTAAAAATATATACTGTATAGCTAAATGGTGTTCTGTGTATTCAAAGTCTTGGGGATTTGGACATAGCCTTCTTCACTTACAAACTGATAAGCACAAGATGACCTAAATTTGAGGGAACTTCATTTTAGTATATAAAATAAAATCCTTGTTTTTAAAGATAAAAACATGATTTATGGTTTCTTTCATCCAATTTCTGCAGTTTTCTGTAATAAACGGAAGCATATGGGCAGAATGCATTATATTATGAGGAATTCTTATAGTAGATATTGACCAGAATTGTATGGTTTAATATGCCAATGTAAATCACAGTGGCAAATTGTTCTTAATTCAGGAGTTGAGGTTTGTATTCCTCATCTGGTACTAGTTGCACAACTTTATGCATACAATACAACTTTTGACTTCTTAATTAGTGGCAACTTGCTACATTGATTTATGTCATTTGACTTAACAGGCATATATAAGTTGTACAATTATAGTCAAGGGTTCTGGAACTAAAGTAGAATATAAATAATAAAACTTGGCATATCTGGAAAATAATACAGTGAGCACCTAATGTTGAAAAAGACTCATAGTAATGGATATAAAAATGTTGTGATCTCAAATGCTTGTATTTGTTTAGATCAGTGATTCCTAACCTTGGATCCCCACGTGTTCTTGGACTACCACTCCCAGAAATCCTGGTTAGCACAGCTGGTGGTGAAGTTTTCTCGGAGTTTTAGTCCATTAACATTTCGGGACTCAAGGTTGGGAACCACTGGTTTAGGTGTTTTGGTTAGATCTAAAAGAAGAACATGTGCATTATGAAATGGGGGTTTGTGGCTAATTTTAAGATATCTTTTAGTTGTTCTTGTAAGAACATTTATTATTTTAATTATTTCTACTTAAGCTGTTTGAGCAATTAATTATTCCTTTGTTCAGCCTCTTTTGTTGTGAAACAACTTGAAGTAACTTTGTATATAATCTTGTCTAACTGATGTAAGATACACTGTAGTTGGCTATGTATGTATTTAGGAAGACACATTGAGATTTAATTTGAAGAATTTAATGCATGCTCAACTTATTTTCGTTTTCAGGTATGTCAGAACACAACGACAGTTCTACAAGTGTTGATGAATTTCACCAAGCTTCAGAAGAGGTCCAGTCTGATTCTGAGGTGATTGGGTGATAAATGTAGTTGTGGTTAATTCAAAATCAACCAATCCAGTAGCAGGCTCAGACTGGAAAAACATTTTGTCGCCATCTCTTTTCTAATTTGCTTTATGTACTGTACAATAAGAACATGTATTACAAATGAAACTATGATTGGCTGACCTTTAAATTTTGATTGATTTGATTTTAATAAAGTATGAGGTAAGAGAATAGAAATGATGATTTTTAAAGAAACCCCTCCATTTTTTAACCCCTCAATTTCCATTTTGGTTGCTAGGAGCACATTGTGATCATTAGTGAACTACTGTATGTTTCTGTGTATAAGATGCCTCCATGTATAAGACGCTCCCACTTTTCTAACCCAAAATTAAGAAATTTAAGTGGGGCTTAGAAGTGTTGGGGGAAAGGGATCAAAGAACTGCAGGATCACTTTGATGCCTGCTTTCTCCTGCAGCTGCATGATCATTTTGATCCCTTTCCCCCTTATATAACCATGGGATTGCTTTGATCCTTTCCCCCTACACTTGCTAAGCCCCATGGGACTTAGTAAGCAGAGGGGAACGCAAGGATCAAAGCCATCCTGCAGTGCTTTGATCCTTGCTTTCCTTTTGCTAAGGCTTAGCAAGTGGAGGGGAAAGCAGGGATCAAAGCCCTGCAGGATCACTTTGATCCCTGCTTTCACCTCCATGTGTTTTTCTCTCCACAGCTTACTTCCATGTATAAGACAACCCTCAATTTTTAGTCTAAAGATTTTAGACAAAAGTATAATCTTATACATGGAAAAATGCGGTAGTATATCTGTGAAAGTTTTTCTTGTGTGCATCTGAGAGTAAAAAGGACGCTGGTAGTATGGAATCATGTGTGGTCAAAATATCAGGTTAGATCTGGCTTGAGTTACTATAGAATAGTTCATCAGGTTTCAGAATACTTCCTCCACCATAATCACTCTGGCTTCCGCTGTTGCTGTTCTTGAGCTGATCTGTTTGAAATGTATGCTGTGTACATGCAACACATACAGGAAAGGTAATACGTAATGCCCAGCTTGTGGACTTGTGCAAGATAAACAGCTCAGATGTCTACATCTTCATAATACAGTTGTTTGGCTGCTGGTTACTTTAAGAAAGAAATGTTTCCTGTTGTCATCACAGGTTTGAGATATGGTTGTTCTCAAGTCCAGGGAAGACCTTCAAGCTGCTGCCTTCTAAGATTCCTGGGGTTACAGTTTCCCTCTTCACTATTAGCTATGCTGGCTGAGGATAATAGGGTCTGTAGTTCAGGACAATCCCCCTAGGTGGGGATGTCTTCTCTACAGGAAACAACGCCTTTTCGAAAAGGGATCTTATCTAATTGCTGGATGATCCAGTATAATCCTGTTGAGTTGAAAAACCCATGAAATGCCAAACTGTACTACAAGGAATATTTTCCAGTGGTATCCAGAGCTCTCAATGATACACAAAGTTTCAAGCCGCACATCCAGCTATGACTTAAATTATATCACATTGTTGCTGTGTTAGTTCTGATTGTATCTTAGCATGAAGATAGAGTCTTTTTAGTTTTATCTCTGGTGTAATGCCAGGGTCTGGGTAGTACGTCCTACCAAAGCTTGTCTGCAGCTGACGATTCTGGGGGGAAAATCTTTAGAGATCTTTAAGGTTAAAGAAGACACCAGGCTTAAATAATTGTTGTAATGTGAGAAATTGAATGGCATCTAGTATTTCATTTTGCATTTCAGAAGGCAAGGTGTACACCTTCAAATAAGCAAGGATAATAGAAAACTTATTTTTAATAATCAGTCAGTTAAACTGGATCTGATTGGTTTGGAGTTGGACATTGCACTTTACATATATATTATTCAACGTGATAGCAAATTTAATGCTTCAGGCATGAATTATATTACAGTGGTGCCCCGCATAGCGACGATAATCCGTTCCGGAAAAATCGTCGCTATACGGATTCATCACTATGCGGGACAAAGAAGCCCATAGGAATTCATTAAACACGTTTAATGCGGTCCTATGGGCAAAAAACTCACCGTTCTGCGAAAATCCTCCATGCTGCCACCATTTTCGCTGCCCAGCAAGTGAGGAAAGGGCGTGAAAACACTGCGGGCAGCCATTTTATTTACCCGGTGGCCGTTTTGGAACCACCGATCAGCTGTTCTTAAAACATCGCTATGCGAAAATCGGTAAGCAAAACACTTACTGATCATCGCAAAGCGATGTTTTACCATCCGAAACATCGCAATGTGATTGCAGAAAACACATTGCTATGCGGATTCGTCAAACGAAGCGCTCGTTATGCGGGGCACCATTGTATATATATTTAAAACGGGTTAGGGAACTTTTTTACCTTTTACTTGCTGTCCGTGGCCGACCCCCGGCCCTCCTGTGCTTGTCCGGGACCTGTGGCCACCATCTGGGCAGCCAGTCTGGAGCTGCCACACCACTAGGAAAGCATGTCCTTAGCGAGGGGAGGCGGGTGCTGCAGGTCCGGCAGGTCCACTGGCCATGAGCTCAAGTGCGGTGGGGTGGAAAGGGGGGCTCCTCGCCAACACACCGGGCAGGTGAGCGCGGGCAAGAAGGAGAGCCCCGGCCAGGGCTCCGCCAGGCAAAGAGTCCAGCTGGCCTGGTATGCCCCCCCCCCCCCCCACTTTGGAGGTGAGGAGGACAGGCGGGTGCCCTGTGCAGTTCCTCACCAGGGCTTGCTTTCCCCACGATGGAACGCCCGCCTACACACAGCATCGTCGGAAATAAAATGCCTGGGGGTAAAATGCCTGCTGCGACCAGCCTCATAACCCCCAGGATTTTCATTTTTACCCTATTTGGGGTAATTTATCCCTGTGCCCTGACCACTGATTTAAAACATGCTGTACTGAAATTTCTTTATTTGCTTTGAATGACTGTTTATTGTTGCATGCAATGCTTTTTTGTTGCCCCATGGAGAGCGTTAAACCTTCAAAAGGTGATATAATGATAACTTTATTCTCTGGCACTACTGTCACGGAAAGACAGCCTTACTGAGGAGAAATGGATGATTGAGGAGGCTGTAGTGCATAACTAATGTTGCTGTTTTGGGCAGTCATTGAACTGGTGGGAACCAGAAACAGCGAAACTCTTTTCTAAATATGGGAACTACAGAAATGTCTATTAAACTACAGTAATCAGAAGTGGTTGTTACCACATGCTGCTAACCTTTGGTTTAAGAATGATATTAACTGATCTTTGGACTTATGTTTTTCTCCCTCACCTTTCATGCAGTTAGGGGGAGACTGGAAATTTACACTTTTGTTTTGGTAACTCTTAGTTCACGATTGGATTCCCAATGCGGCAAATATTGTTGGTTTACACTTGTTTAAGGAAGTTGAAGATACTCAGTGTGCTGTAGTGGTTAGAGAGTGGACTAGAGCTGTGGAGAATAGGGTTTGAACCCCATGTGGCAATGGAAACTCATTGGGGAAGTGGAACTGGTAAAACTACTCCTTAAAGATCTTAGTTACTTTGAAAGCCCTATTAGAATTGCTATCAGTTGTTTCCAAGTTGATGGCACACAACACAGTCTAGGATTGTCTGAATCCTGAAATCAGTTACAGTGGTGCCCCGCTAGATGATGTTAATTTGTTCCATTGAAATTGTCCAAGTTGATGGCACACAACACAGTGTAGGATTGTCTGAATACTGAAATCAGTTACAGTGGTGCCCCGCTCAATTATGTTAATTCGTTCCATTGAAATTGCTATTTAGCGAAAACATCATCTAGGAAAAGCCTTTCCCCATTGGAATGCATTGAAACCTGTTTAATGCGTTCCAATGGGGAAAATACCTCGTCGTTCTGCCAAAATCACCCCTAGGGAAGCCATTTTGCAAACCGCTGATCAACTGTTCTAAATCACTGTCTTGTGAAAAACGGGCCTGAAAACACCCATTTTGCGAAGATCGCCCCTAGGGAAGCCATTTTGTGAGCCACTGATCAGCTGTTCTAAATCATTGTCTTGCGAAAAAAATGGTCCGCGAAGCATGGACCAAATGCTGTCTAGCGAAATTCCCCCTTAGGAATCACTGTTTTGCGAAGCAAAATGGCGGTTGCAAAATATCATGCAGAGTCGTCATTCTGAGGGGTAATCATTTTGCGAGGTACCACTGTATCTGCTTAACATGCTCCTTATATATCACCTCTTGGTGCTGAAAGCATGCTGTGAGCAATTTACAATATATAGGCTACACATTGCCCCCCATCCCAGTGAGCTTACTCAGTTTACCAACCTTGGAAGGATGGAGGTCTGAGTCAAGCTTGGGTCCATCAGGATTGAACTGAAGTTGTGAGCAGAATTTTGACTGCTGTACTGAAGTTCAACGACTGTGCCATAAGGCTTCTCTACTATCTGTTTTTTAAAACATGGTCTCACAAACTATGGTTTGAATCAGCTTGTTTTAGTAAAAAATAGTTAAGACAAGTGCACAGCTGTCTCTGTTTAGATGTAACTAAGCAGTGATTAGTAAAAAAAACAAATCAAATAGCTCATGGTTGTAACACTGGAAGTGGAATGAGAGGCACATGAGCTCTGCACTCTGACAGGGTTGTCATAATACCAGTTGGACCATTGTTGTGTGCAAATGCAACCAATGGCTGGATTCTTGATAAAGAATTGATGGTCAATTATGGCTACTGTATGAGGACGCTATTATTTATTGCTCTGAGTCTCCACCTAGGCTCAGGCACAGTCTGCTGCTCTTGGCTGTTTTATATTTGTGGAAGCTTAAACAGTAAGGGAGGGTAAAGCGAGTAACTTTACACTGAATTTCCTCTTAATTGAAAAATTGAGTGAAAGTCAAGTCTCTTTGTCAAGTTAAGCCGGTTTATATCATAATTAGAGCACTTCGTATAACATGCAGCCCAATCTTCTTTATCTTTACTCGGAAGTAAGTATTTCTGAATTCAGTGTAACTTATTCTCAAGTAAACATGCATAGGATTGCGGTTAACATGGAGATAAAGCAAATTTTGTTTT